ACCTGCAGTATTTCATGCAGCAGGGATTTCCGGCTGCCTTAACTGCTTCTCAGTCTGAACAGCCATCCATTTGTGCTCTCTAACTGAAAACCAATAATTAAAAGCACACATCCTTTTTGATTCCCAGTTTCCTCCTTGGTACCATACCCACTGCTGTTTTTGTTTCATCATCCAATTTTCTTTTTTGCCCTGTGAGACTGGCTTTGGGACAACATGTTCCAAAGCTAATGAATTTTTCAGCATCTTCAAAACTAGCTATCATAACACTCCTGTCTACTATTTTCTGCCAACTTAGACTTTTTAAAAGCCCTACCTGTGATCTCTCCAATCAGCATCTGGAACGGACAACAGCAGCACCTGCCTAAAAAAACAGCAGGGGCAAGGAACTCTGCTCTAAAATACTTCCATTACACTGATACAATGTTTTTGCTACCAAGGCCTTGCTTTTTTTAAAAATTAATGCCAGGGGGATTACTCAGTCAGCTGGTAGTCAAGCAGAACTAGACCACTGAAGGGAAGCTGGGGTGGGTGTTGGAAAGGTCCTTCATGATTCCTTTCTTGACACCTGCCCTTGGTCCAGCTTTGGTCACTTCTGTCACATGCCAGATACTGCACAAACGAGAAGCATGAAGAAAGCACTTTTGTAACAAAATTTATTTTAGCTCTGTGGATACAAATCCCAAACATCAACAAACAAATTCCAGTGGAAAAATACCAGTCATTAACAATGAAAACTTTTATTATTATTTAATAAATAGAACTTTGGCATTCAAAATTCTAGCTGTAAACCCTACTTTAAAAAAAATTACAAAAAGAGGCAAGAACAACAAGCCTAAAGCTGAGCCAGCCAGTGGCTCCTTTACTTTTTACAATGAACACATTGTGATTAAGTCATGACAACTCTATTTACATATGAGGAATTCTTGAGCGGTTTAAAAATTGAACCCAATTTACAAAACTACCAGTCTTCAGGGACTGATCCAGTACATATGTCAGCTGTGCTTTTAAAAGATAGCTCCAGACTCTCCTCCCCACTGAACTAATGATATACTGTAATTAATATACACATTATGATTTGAGTTTCCTGCTCACGCTTCATATTCAAAAAAGCTGCATACTACGACCAGCCCAACATTCAAAGTGTACACCTAGTACCTAATTTAAGTACTTCTGTTTCTAGACATTATGCAAGAGTTCTTACTACAAAAGCTTATAAACAAAATATCGGCAGGTAAGAGGAAAACAAGGTGCAGTCATCAGCATCCTAACAGCTTATCTAAAGTTCAAGGGGAATATACACTTGCTTCAGGCAAAAAGGCACAAAGGTATGCAGCTGTGGAATTAATATTGCTAATGAGCTACTGGAATAAATCATCCCTTTAGATAACAACCATTGATTTGTTTACAGTCTAAGAGTGCAGATTAGTTCAGAAGATCTTTTCCCCACTCACAACAGAACTCGTCACATCAATGAGAAGAGCCCAATTATACCTCAAATTCAACCTGCGTAACATCACTGATAAGGATAAGGAAAACTGGAGCAAACTATGCCCATGCAGCGTGCCGTCACTGCCCTGTGCTAGGGCAGCAGGTCATGGAGGAAGGAATTTGCTTGCTTGCTTTCCTTTTTTCCTTGTGCTCTTATCCTGCAAGAAAAACATTAAAAAAAAAGTCTGCCACAAAAGGCAGGCAGTGAGGGCAAAGGAAGGAAGGAAACCTTTTGAAGCAAAAAGGGTGGAATTTCAGCTCTTGCAATGACTTCACGGTCACTGGCAGTTTCGAATGCTGGAGCCTGAGTGGGCGGTTACAGCGATCTCCACAATTCCACAAGACTATCCCGCTACAAAGCTGCAGAGCAGAGGCTAGCAACCTAAATCACGTTTACACAACTGAGCTGCATTACTTCTATATAGTAACTACATAGCATCACCTATAGCTTGTCCAAAGACAGTTACTTTCAAAGTCTTTTTAAAATACATTCTTGAATACAGTAGTTACTGTAAATATCTTCTAGAGGATTGTATAAATTCAATCTGAAACTATACAAAAAATTACTGTACAAATTTGCTGACAGCCAGAACGGTACAGTTTCCGTTCGTTAGCAGTTGTTTTTCAGCCCTTGAGATTGTCTAATAGCTACAGCAAAAAGTTGTCATGACTAAATCTAAGCAATTCCAATGTTAACATTCATTAATCAACTCTGTATTAAATATGCTGAATGAGACCACACACACTACATTTAACCAATTAAACAATCATGCATATCTTAGACAAAGCTTATTCCATTTAGAGGCATCCATAAACCGATGCATATATAGTAATTGCTACTACTACAACAGGCCAAATTTTAAGAAATTAAAGCAAAATATTGAATCACTATAGACAGTCAACGGGTAGCCTGCATCTTTGGCTCATACATCCCATCACTTACCTCCCTACTTTAATTTGACTTAGGCAGATAAACTCAGGGGTTTTTAAAATCAAGTGCTTTAAAGTCAACATAAATATTACAGTTTCTGTAATAAAATATTACAATGCAGGATTACAGCATTGCAATCAAGGTATTACAAATAAGATGGGACTTCCTTCCTGAGGGACTTTCAACTAATACTTGAAGGGCATAGAAGCTCCTGAAGTGCTCTGCAAATATAAATTACTCATCTCAACTCTGCAGTACAGTATCACCATTTAACAGGAGGGACAGTGGAGGCACACCAGCCAAGTGACCAGCTTAACAGTTCAAAGCGACTCAAAAAATCTCCTGCTCCTCTCTAATTGCTCTATTAAACACCTTGTTATTTCCACCAAATTTAGAAAAATGTGTTGCTTAGTAATTTTTTATAGATACAATGTTTCCATCTAAGGAAATAATAATGTGCAACTTAGGCGGTTCCTCTCTCCCTAATACTTCTATTTTATTATCTGAAATGATATTGTTGAATTCTGATATGAGACAGATGCCATAACCAGGAGATTATTACTTCACTGCAGGGCCAAAACCAACAAACTACACCAAAGGAACGAGCTGAGGCCCTGGTCACAAAAGCCAATACTGTTAGAGGCATAGGAAACTGTGCAAGCCCATTTGTGCAAAGATCCTTGTTTTCAGTTTTGCACTAGAATAAAACTATGCTTTCAGATTTACAGAAAGAGCACAGAAATTTAAAATAAAATGGCCTCGCTTTTTTACCTTGAAGTAGAGACACTAGGCAATTTCACTTGAGATTTCATCTAGACACTATTTTAGTGCTCACAGGAGCTGAACCAGTCAGATTAATCTATCTGAAAACACCACATAGCAATAATATAAATAGTAACACTTTTTTTTCCACAAATTAGTCCATGTGTAAGTTCAGGATAGAGAAAACTGTCAAATAAATAAGTCCATATAGCTAAAAAACATTAAATCACTAAATTATAAAAACAACATTAATGGTAACTGTTTAAGAATGAACAGAAAGCAAAACATCACCAAGTTAAAACTGGTAACCAGACTACTTTGCTATACCATTGTTTTCTATTAACACAAATATAATCAGAAAACTGAAGATATCAATACTTTTGCCATAAAAACGTTACCCTAGAATTTACTTGGTTTTAACCCCTAAGCTTTCTAAGAGATTTCTGCTGTTATCCAAACTACAGGTCAGCTGACCAACTTGCACTTTAGTCATTTGAAACCTTCTTTTAATACCGTATATATAACTGATGCTCACATATTTTCTTAACAGTGTGATTTGAGAGTGGTTTTGCTCTTTGCAAATTTTCGTTTCCTTCAGCTAAATACTGCTTTACACCATGCGTAACTGTGTGGCTAACTTGCAGTAATGTTCCAGGAAATTAGAAGCATTAATATGTCATCTGTCCCACAGGAGTGAAACAGGCACTGCCAAGTGACACTCACTGAATAAACTATGAAACATGATCTTATTTTTTAATGTAATTGCTTCCTACATAAGTGGAGAAATCAAGAATTTCCAACAATGTGGAAAATTTTGCAGTCCTCAGATAACTGAGTACTTAACACTGCTAAGTGGAAACATTGCATTCTAAGCCCTGATTTTGCCAAGTGCCAAACGCCTGTTTTGTAGCTGTGGTAAAAAATGGTGGAGACGGTTCACAACCTCGTCAGAGGCCTTCAGGGATGGAACATAGACCAGCCACTTTTAAAATGGAGATGACCTAAGAGAAAAATAAGTATGGTACAAATGCTAAAATACAGTCTTCCCCCCCACCCCCCGGCAGCCATGTACTATGCTGCAGTTTCATGCCTTCCAGCTTCTCTGGGTTTGTCACAAACTTCGTATTACTGAAACTTTTTACAGCAAAGTGAGTGTGCTTAAAAAAATTTGATAGTGCTGTATTTTATGGACTTCATTTGCATAAAGGAATTAAAGCTTGGTTTTCTTCCGCTATTGGGTAAACAAGCTAGACATCCATTACTAAAAACAACATCTTTCCTGTATCAAATTTTTAGGCAACTTGAAGAGCAACTACTTTTTGTAGTGCTCCAAGATTGTTCCAATTTCAATTCCTAGAGTGAAGTGCAGTTGCAGAAGCCTCTGCCTTCACCACATACAGCTACGGGTCCTTCGACCCTCTGCTCTAATTTCAGAACACAGATAGTGCCATACAAACCCTTGATGAAGGGAAGGACTGAGAGTAGTAGCAGCACGGCTGTTTTGATGCTCCGATTCCAGAAACTAGGTGAAGTAATAAAATGAGACCTAATAAAGGAAACAGAGTATCCAACTGAAGCATTCTTCACAGCTTATTCCCACATTCAGTAGTTTGGAGAAAAAGATTTCTTATAATTTGTACCACTCTGTTCAAACGATGACTCTCCCCTCCCCACCAGACTCCCGAGATTAAGTTTGCACAATCCTCAGCGAGATGCATGTGCGGCACTATTTGCAGTCTTCTGATATGGCTCCTTAACAGAAATGCAAAGACCTGTGAAACAGCAGCATTTAATAAGTCATTTGCTACTATATGAAATGTCATTGAGTAATGCAATTGTCCCCCATGTCCTGAGCATAACGGTCCGACATTATAGTCCTTAATTCATCAATATCCTTTCGTAACTGACAAACGTCCAAGAGCTTCTTCGAAAGGGTTTCTGTGCTGTGGTAATTTTCATTCTCTTCAGCTGAACAGCTCAGCGCTACAAAAAATAACACCCAAGGTTAAAGCTCTAGCAACTGTGCTCTGAGAATACTTCAGCTAGTCAGTCCCCTTTGAAATAAGGAGTAAAGCACTTCAATTACATCAAGACAAATCATGCTTTAATATGATGAAAAGCCAACAAAATGTGTTACTGTGTGAATTTAAAGTCAATTCAGAGCCGATCAGCGCTTCTCTGCAAGACATGCTTTTCTGTTTGCACCAAGATCCAGACTTGCTAAAGTCTGATGGATCTCAACAGCAGTGAAAAAACTGCATAGAACAGGCATTTCCTAGAGATTTTGGAGGTTTCTACAGCTGCTTAGGAAAGAGAGCTTGGGAAATGAGGTCATGTAAGATGAGACAGTATTACAGACATGCTGCACTATTCATCCTGCTGGCTGATGGTCTCATGGACTTTGAGACTGGCATATGCTGCACTCCCCAGTACTTCAGGGGGTTAGAGTGCAGCTGAGTTTATGTGGCCTGTAGCAGCTCTTGCTGCACAGGACACTATACTTTTAACCTTTCTACCTTGCTGATGGACTAGTTCAGCAGCCAGTCTATCTGATTAATCCTAATTAACATTCAGAAAACAATAGAGTATGATACATTCAGGTAAAAAAAAAAAAGTAATTTTTATTAAGCTTGTTAAAGGAAAAGACCTAACACAAACTTGCTACGCTGAAGCTTTGTCTGACTGGCTTTAGGGTGTGCTTCTCCTTTCCTGGTTAAGGGCTTAGTAAGTGCTGAAAACTACATCTGCCATTAACAGTACTGAAGAAGAAATTGCCTGGGAGTAGGCTTATCTAATACACACAGACACCCCCACACCCCATCCCCAAACCCGACAGACACATGTTCAAACAGTAGATGTATATTCCTACCGGTTGACCCCAAGGTCTTTAAAACAAAAACACGTGGTGTAGCCATGCCAGGCCTGCTTACGCCTCACCTCCCTCATAATGAGTTTATAGGGCAGAACATGTTTGACAGAAAAGCATCCATTAACCCTCAGGGTGACTGCAGTGTGTCTCAGGAGGTACAGACACCTGGCTACACACCTTTCTTTTCTAGTGGGGTGAACATATCCATGATTGGATCCATATGAAGAGCCAGCTACCTGCTCTCCTGACTTGGCAAGGACCTGTGTAGCCATATGCATTTAGCAGCCCAGGTGCACTAAAAGACCAGCTTTTCTAGAGAGCTCCAGGAGTACTGTTCATGCACAACTGCTCCAGTTGCATAGCAAGGGAGACATTGGCCTGTCCAGCTGGCAAGCTCAAGCACTACTTAGTTAAACTGTTACTCTTCTGTGTCAAAACACTATTAAAGCATTGGAATGACAACATCACTTACATCTGATTCCCAGCAGTAAGGAAAGGTTAGGCTCCTTGCCCTGAGCTCTCTGGGTAAGAATACTGCACAGTGCTTTCAAGTCAAACAAGCAATGGGACATTTCCTTGAACAACTGGTCTGCTATAGGCATCTTCTCAGATACTGGCTGGCTGGAGTGCTCCACCTGCCGCATCTGCTCCTTCAGGCAGGCATTCTCTTCCATCAGTCTTTGGTTCTTTGTGAAAAGTAAATGGGAAAAAGGGGAAGGTTAGTCTGCAGCATGCATTGTAGCAGAAAGTTTCCTATTTCAAACCACAGGCAATATATTTAAATTAATTTCCATACATATAATCAGTATTTCTGTACACCTCCAAAGAATGGCAGATAGACAGTTTTTACATGGCTCTCTATTTCATGTTACCATTCCTTAGTGGCCTTCACCCTTGAAGGTCTCACTTCTTGATGTAGGGATGGTACCTATTATATGTCTGCACAGCAGCCAGCACAGTCAAGTATGTAATTAAGCTCATGAAGTCCTACCATGAGATCTTACAATCATTCTATAAGGTTCTTCCCAGCTAGTGTGGTCAGTGGTTGGGTTACGGAAGTTTTTACTTACTTCAGAGAGAGTTTTATTTAACTGCTCTATATTTCGTTCTTTTTCTTCAAGCTCATTTGTCATCTTCTGAACTATCAGCTCTTCTTGCAAAAGCTTCTCTTGCATAGACTAAAGTGAATGAAAACACAGGTAATGATTTTGAATTTTCATACTTTATATTAGCACTGACAAAAAATGCATCCTCAGTAAATTTCTAGGTTTCCATTATTTATTGCTTTTGTATTAACTTTTTGGTTTTTATTTTCTACCATATTCCACCTGGTAATATTCAGTTGCACTTCAACAGCTCTCTGTACACTAACACAGCTATTCCAAGTATCAGCAAAAACGTTTAAACCAGCAGTTTCTGTTTAGAAACAAAAAGACTGCATGTATGTATCTATGTATGTATGCAAAACCTTACTTCAATATGGAATGCATGAAGTCTAAAATAACCATGCAATATTGTTTATTGTAACCAAATAATTCCACTTGAAATAAGCAGTAGATTAATGACAACTCAGCTTCATTTATGCAATTACAAGTTGTAACTGAAGATCTTTTTTGGTCTCTACTTTCCACAAAGACTATGGCAGGACTTCCTACAACCTTTCGTAACACAGAATTCACCTCACCTTCTATACAACTGAAAAGAAAGCCTTTGACAGTTGATACAGAGCAGTAACCTCTGTTAAAACCATTCACAGACAAGATAAAACAGAACAGTTTACAGTCTGTAAAGCTCTACCATGCTGAAAAAGCAACAAAGTCAGGCAAAAAAATAACTTATTTGTAGTTTCTATGTCATTGTTAACAGATACAGTAACTACTATTTTTAGCAATGTAAACAGCAACTTTCTAGGATGCTGTTGTACTTAAGTATTGGAGCTTTCCAGGACTGACTTCCAGATCAGTCACAAGCCACAAATGAACAACCACTGCAAGACAGAATCAGCTGCTGTCAATTCCACAGTTTTCACCTACAGAGTTGAAACTGAGAAATTGTGAGATATTTCCAAAGTGGATTTTTTAGGGTGAATTTCACATGATCACAGGTGTCTGTTTTTAAAAGCACTCATATATATTCCATTAGTTGGCTTTTAGATCTGTAGATATGTCTTTCAAGGTCATCTGGCAAAATTCAGAAAGACGACTATTCAAACCATCTATCTGCATACTAATAATGAATAGTATGTATGAATAGTAATATAAACTCCTGATGCTTTAAAACAGAGAGATCTTTTCAAGCTTTCATGAAGAAAAAAAATCCTCTTTTGTCATTAATGGTATTACTCACAAACCCAATGCTGCATTAGCACAGTGCATATTAAATGTCCTCTCCATCCCTAGTTCAGCACATTGTCATGTAAAATCTGTTGCCCAGTTTCAATTATAAGATGCAAATATGATCCCATCATGCCCAAAATACAGCTGAAGCACTGGTAACAACGGTGCACGCCTTGGCACAGTTTTGATTGTAAACCTTCCACAGAGTGGAACCAGAGACCATGATGGGTGGAGGAGAAAGGGCATTTCACAAAACAATGGCTCTCAATTTATGGAATGACATTGTACCAGAAGAACATTTTTTCTTGAGTCTCTGTAGGAACAATCCTAAAGATTCTTCCTCCAAAGCAGAGAACTTTCTCACAGGGAATTCTATATGGTAGTTTAAATAAAACACTACAGAAAGATCCAAGTCACTCTTTATTAAAAGATATGTTTAAATTGCTGCGCTATGATGCTGCAACCTTATTTCAAAGACAGAAAAAAACCCCAAACTCCCCACTTGACAGAACCACAGCAAGTTGTGTCAAGTTATGTTGGTTTTGAGGTCCTCGGAAAACAATTTAGCTTTGGAAAAGGACACATATTTACTCTTGTGTGAGTTGCTCTTAAGATGTATGAAGAAAGGAACTTTCAGGTTACCAGTACTGGGAATTGTAGCACATGTGACCTACAGAGTGGACAGTAAGCCATTTAATTGACTTGTCAGCTATAAGAATTATTAGTGCTGACAAGAAGGCAGGAAGTAACAAGAGGCAAGGCAGGGTTGACACTGAGTGGAGTTTTTAATGGCCTGGCCACTCACACGAGGTGTGCAGCCTTGACAAATTTTCCCCACACACTCAGCTGAACACTGCACAAGCAGCAAGAAAATACAGTACTTTGTTAAACCCTTTGCAAAACTGGAAAACTGTGCTAAAATTTACATAGTTAATATGGACTAAAGAAATCCACACTTTATCTTCATGTAAGTAATAAGAACCAGCAGGCAGAACCCAGAAATGACTACTTGTTTTTAGAACGGTTTTCACACACTTGACCTGCTTGTTAGTTCATCCGCACCATGCCCCTCGAAAGGAAGTGTTGAGGTAATGTGCATCCTAAAGATAAGCTGTGCGAGAAAGCACAGCTTCACAGGCCAGTGGGAGGAAGGGGAGGAAGAAAGAGGGCCCTGCTCCACGTCAAAGGAAACATCCTGGACTGACAGAGAGCAGGAAATAGCTCTGCTTCAGGCATTTCCTTTGTTGTGCTTGCAGATGAGCAGAACTCACAGTGGTGTTGAACCATCTTCTTTAGTTTTTTAAAAACATTGTCTACTGAGAAAAATTTCCATATTGGGTCAGACTGAAGGTCCCTCTAGATCTGTCTGCAGCCACACAGAAGCAGCTTAGGGAGGAGGATGAGAACATGGCAATACAGTAATAGCAGGTGCCCAAAACAAAGAATCACATAATCATTAAGGTTGAAAAAGACCTTTAAGGTCATCAAGTCCAACCATCAACCCAACACCACCATACCCACTAAACTGTGTCAAGAAGAGCCACGTCCACATGCCACTCTCTCAGTAAAGAAATTTTGCCTAATATCCAGTCTAAACCTCCCCTGATACAACTTGAGACCATTTCCTCTCATCCTATC